GAAGGGAAGGGAAGGGAAGGGAAGGGAAGGGAAGGGAAGGGAAGGGAAGGGAAGGGAAGGGAAGGGTCTCCCTTGTATATATGCACAAAGTTTCACAAAGCAATCTTTTCCTGAAAAATGCACAAACACTACAGTTTACAAAGAACCGTACCTGACAGGTTTTATATTACCATAAATGCTTCTAGGTTGAACAAATAGGGAGCAGAAACAGGGAAACAAGACAAAATAGAGGAGGCCAGGCGCAATGGAACCTTCTGAGTTTTAATGGCACAAGACTGACTACACAAGGAGAGAACAGTAGAACCAGAGTGACTTCAGGAGAGAGGAAGACATAAAATTGAAGCAAGTATATTTCTCTTGCTCCATATCTGTGATCTAATCCACTAGGGGGCTGGTGAATTAATGTGACTTTTAAGATGTAAATAGTAAGGATGATGTCCAAGCAGTATTTCCACTGGGAGTGAATAGTGGTTTTTCAACAGGACTTGAGCTGGCTAAACTCCCCTTTCCCCATAGTCCTGCAGCTGCTTCATCACCTTTCTAGCAGCTGCCATAAAACTGTGTAAGTGCACTGTGTTCATGCAATTAATATTCCATTTAGTTTAGCCATAATATTGTTAAGAAAAATGCATCCAACAGAGAGAAGGCTTAAAGGTTGATGGACAACACAAAATCATCAGATTAGGACCTCTGCTTTTGTTTCACCACGTTTCCCTTTCCTACTTACAGGGTTTCACTGACCAAAGAGCACTATGCTTCACAGGGACATATACACTACTAATAGAAAAAACACTGTACTTACATGTGGAAGGAGATGTAAAAGAGCATCTCCGCTTAGCGTTCCAACTGCTAATGCCACGAGGAAACTTAAGAGGAACTTGAAAAATACACGATTCATCAGTGGCACCAGTATAACACCCAATAATGAAAGAAAACTGATAATGGAAATGGATATAAAGCCACCAATCCAAGCTGAAAAGAAGAAGATTTTTTTTCTATCAAATGATTCAAACATACATTCTTTATTGAATAACATACTTCTTCCTTCCATTTTGGCAACTAGCTAAAAGAATTTTCTAACCTAAAAGATTACATATAGCATTTTGTATATTAGTGTTGTTGTTTATAAAAAGACCTATTCTTTGAGACAAGAAATACAAATATTTTGATTCAGATAAATCAATCCAAACTAAACCCAATTCTTGAATAAGAATGTATTACACCACCATAAACAAGAGAAAGTGGAAGTATTGAATGGGAAATTTGATTCCACCATCATACTTACCTACTTGCAATGAATATGTTTTTGGAGCTGTTTCAGCCTTTTCGCTTGTTGCATGAATTATACAGTTTCTACCATCAATCTGGCTAATTATGGCTGGACAAAGATAGCTAAATTCTGTGGCTGTCAAAGAGACCTGAGTATTTATTCCATGGAAAAGCATCATTTCTGATGCATTAAAGCACTATAGAAAAAAAAGTGTTAGAAAAATACACACATTAAGAGACATAATTTCAAAACAGCTCTTCTCTCAACTAACCAATAAATTTCATGCTGTCAGAAAAGCAAATATAACAAGCACAGGGCAAGGTTGTCATGCAAAAGCAAAGAAAATTAATTGGTTTCCTATATGTAGCGTTAACTGCCCACGTAAGAAAGAACGGTGCAATCTATTCCTTACG